AGCGGAGGGGCCCCGGGGGTTCCGCGGGGTCTTGCGGGGCCGGGGCGGGGGGGGAAGCCTCGCCGTGGGGCGGCCGGCATTGCCGTGGGGCTGCAAAGCTCTGCAGACCCCGTAAGTCCCCATAGGTCCCACCATGGCCAAGCACAACGGTGACACAGGAGTGGACAGCAGAAGCTCATCGTCCAACACTCCTCTCAAGGTGATTTTTGGCCAAATTGGTAAAATTTGGGGAACCCTCCCGGTGTTTTCTTAGTGGCAGTGTCACCTGTGGCGTGCCCTGTCCCCACCGGTCCCCTGTCGCTCTGCCAGGGGGTGGGGATGGGGACAGCGGTGGTGGGCACGGAGAGCTGGGAGGGTGGAGGGACGAAGGGACGGAGGGAGGGATGGACAAGTGGGGGCATGGAGGGACAGAGGCATGGATGGATGGATGGATGGATGGACAGATGGACAGAAAAAGGGATGGACAGATAGAGGGATGGCAGGATGGGCAGATGGAGGGATGGAAGGACAGACAGATGAGTAGATGGATGGATGAATGGACAAAGGGATGGAGAGATGGGGGGTGGAGGGATGGACAGATGGATGGAGGGATGGATGGACGGACAGATGGACAGACAAAGGGATGGATGAACAGACAGAGGGATGGCAGGATGGACAGATGGAGGGTTGGAGGGATGGAAGGATGGACAGCTAGGTGGATGGATGGATGGATGGATGGATGGATGGACAAAAGGATGGAGAGATGGATGGACAGTTGGAGGGACAGAGGGATGGAGGGAAGGATGGAGAGAGGATGGAGGGACAGAGGGATGGATGGACAGATGGACAGACAGAAGGATGGACAGATGGAGGGACAAGGGATGGAGAGACTGAGGGATGGAGTAACAGATGGAGGCATGGACAGATGGATAGACAGATGGATAGAAGGACGGCAGGACCGAGGGAGGGAAGGATGGACACAGATGGATAGATGGATGGACAAAGGGATGGGGGGATGGACAGACAGAGGGATGAAGGAATGAATAGATGGATGGAAGGATGGACAGATGGATGGAGGGATGGATGGACAGATGGACACACAAAGGGATGGATGGAGGGATGGATGGAGGGACAGACAGATGGAGGGACAGAGGGATGGAAGGATGGACAGATGGATGGATATGGGTGAACAGATGGATGGAGAGACAAAGGGATGGACAGACAGAGCAATGGAGGGGCGGATGGATGGACAAATGGGGAATGGACAGATGGAAGGATGGAGGGATGGGCAGACAGTGGGATGGCGGGGTGGATGGATGGAGGGACAGTGGGACAGAGGGATGGACAGACAGATGGACAAACGGATGGATGGACGGACTGAGGGACGGACGGCAGGACGGGGGACTGAGGAACGGGTGGATGACTGGACGGACAGAAGAACGGACCGCAGGCCGGGTGGGCGAACAGATGGCCGCTGGACAGACAGACGGACGGCTGGAGGGGCCGGGACACGGGGGGAGCGCTGAGGGCCCAGCGCCGCGGCCCCTTTAAGAGCCCCCCC